CCCGCCCCGCCCCGCCGGTCGGGTCTTGGCTGTTTTCTTGGCGTCGCGGGGCGGGCCGGCGCCGCGGCGGCCGCGGGTGGGAGGAGGCCGTCGCCGTCTATCCTCGTCGCACCCCGGCCTCGCTCCGTCGCCCTCTCTCTCTCTCCCTGGCAGGGCCAGGCAGGGCCGGGCAGGGCCACCCCGATGCTAGGGGATGGCTAGGGCGTCCCGCGCCGCGCCGCGTCCCAAGGAGCTAGGCAAAGAATCGCTTTTTCAGTGTTGTTGTGGAGCTGGAGGAGGACGACGGCGCAGCCCGCGCAGCGCAGCGCCGCCAGTTTCTCATCCGCGCGTCGGCCACGTGACACCCACGTGACACCCACGTGACACCCACGTGACGGCCACGTGACACAGGGATACGCGAAGCCGCAGGTGAGTGTGTGGCCGCGGCGGTGTCCGCCCGCTGTCATCCGCGCCGAGTGTCAAGTGTCACGTCACACAGTGGGCCAGAAGACCGGTGGAGACGGACAAAATTCTAGACGCGTTTTGAGCTCCAGAGTCGCTAAATGGGACTCGAACCGAACGTATGACCCCACCAACGGATTGCTCTCCGAACGAGGAATGGCGAGGTGTGGGTGTCCCGCTGGCTGCAGGCCGGTGGGCGCGCAACGGGCCGAGCCGACACCCGAGCAGCCGCCACCTGTCACTCGCCGCGTCGCGCCGCGTAGCCACTACACCGTTCACCACATTGTCGCTGAGAACATTCCTCTGCTTTTATCGAAATACAGTGCAGTGGCATTGCTGTCGGACTGGAAATCGGGTGTTCTCTTTGTCGCCTGGAAAGTTGGGACTTCCCTGCCCCGCGATTCATTCCCTCGCTGTCTCTGTCGCGCTGATGGAGGCTCTCCGTGTGGGTGCGAGAGAGACAGAACGACGAACGACCGTTGCTCTAGATCACACGGCTGCTGAGTCAAGTCGACGATGACACCAATGTGACATGTGCCGGTCACCGCGAACAAGACTGAGTCCCTCCAGACACCAGCATAGACTGATTCCGAGAGTCGTCGCTCTGTCTCTCTCGCACCCACACGGCATGCCGGCACGCCCCACGAGTGCGAGAGAGACAGAGCGCGCCGGGCCGCCGACCGCATGCGATGCACGTCGCCGTGGCGGCCCTTAATCGCCCTCATCATCGCGGTGCTGGCGGCGCTGCAAAGGTTGGGTGGTTTATGGTGGCGGAGCGGAGCGGCGCGCGAATCGCCGACTAGAAAATGGGGCTCGTAAAGTTTGGCGAGAGTGTGTGTGTGTGTGTGCGCCGCGGACTAATCGCGCGGCGGCCCGCACGGCCCGCTCATCCGCCGGGTTAGTGTTTCCGACTTCCGCTTGCTTCCGCTTCCGTTCCGAGGCGCCCACCACGCCCAGGCGGCGCCACCGTCGTCGCCTTCTTACGACCGACCGCCGTCGCCACGCCGTCGCCGTCCACCGAGGTGTGAGGGTTCACGACGTCGTTGCCGAGTGTTTTTGTTGTTGCTTCGTCGCTGTTTTGTTGTTCTTTTTGGGGAGCGCCGTGTCGCAGCTCTCTCTCTCTCTCTCTCTCTCTCTCTCTCTCTCTCTCTCTCTCTCTCCTAGCGCGGCGCGATCTTAAATCGCTTAACGGCGAGCAACTTTCAGTTCCTCCAGGCGTCCTTCTGTAAAACACGTTGTTTACATTACTTCAGCGAGGCGAAAAAAAAAATCAGGCTTTACTGTGGAACCGGACCGGAGGCCGTGATGTCCTCCATGATGTCTGAAAATAGGTTTTTCACAGACAAAAATTGAAATGAGATTTTTTTGCCGTTTTTTTTTTGTGGGCATATTTGAGGCGTTGGTGGTGGTGGTGGTGGCGTGGCGGTGGTGGGGCGCAGGCGGGGGGCGACGCGACACGACGCGAAGGCCCGAAGGGTGGCCGGGCGTCGGGTCGGCGTGTCCGAAGAACGTCTCAAGAAAAGCAGACGGAAGGAAGGCGCCCCCTCCACGCCTTCTTTTATTCCCAGGCCGGCCTGGGATTGGTCGCCAGCGTCGCAGGGCCCAGCCAATCGCAGCGCGGGGCGGCAGGGCACGGCGCGGCACGGCGCGGCACGGCGGGGCACGGCGCCCCTCGCGGGGTCCTTGGCAGTGCCCCCGGGACCCGCGGCCCCCGCCGCCCCGCGCCCCGCACCCCGCCCGGCCACCGAGAAAACCTACAAGTGCATCTCCCACCAAGATGAAGAAAACAATGCCCGGCTCGCGGCCTGCCTCGGCCGTGTCGCCCCCGCCGCCCCCGCCGCCCCCGACGCGCCCCACCGCGGGGCTGTGGGCCCTGGGCCCCCGCAGACCCCACCGGCCCCCACTCGTTTGGGGCGACTGCGGGCAACCTTTGAGGCTCGCCAGGCTCGCCGGCCCCGCCACCCCAGTACTTCGGCGGCCCGCAAAACGCCAGGCAGCGCGAGGCGCCGCGACGCACCGCCAGTGAGTCTCCAGGATATATCGCCGCCCCTCCCCGCTGCCCAGGCCACTGCAAAACGCCGAGGTCCTGGAGGACGACAAGTAAGTCTCCGTGGACGGCAGTCGCGCGCGCCGCCGCTCCAGCACCTCGACGTCCTCGTCGGCGTCCACCTCGGCGACCCCCGGCCGCCCGCGGCCTGGTCCAGCACGTCGCCGTCGGCGGCTGGCTTCCAGACTCCCGTCTCCACACTGTGAAAGTGACGTACTGGTTCTGCTTCACCTTCCTTCGCACGTCCGTCGCGGACTCTGGAGCGCCTCCTGGACACTGGTAGTAAAAAAAGTAGAGAAAAAGAATCTGGACAGTCTTTCACCCGGACCGTCCGTCGTGAAACTCATGGAGACCGCGGTGAACCAGTGAGGAAGGTCCACACTTTTTTCCGTGCCAAACTCCGCATTTTGTTCCCAGTTGAGAGTCGTGAACGGTGTCGTCGCTTCTTTCCAACAAACCCGCGTTCGCGCCGTGCCACCCTCGCGGGGCGTCGCAAGGCCTAGGTCTAGGCTTGACTGGCTTGGGCAGCGAAAGCCGTGACGTCTGCATCGCCAACTTCCAACAACCCCCGGCCCGGCCAGTGTGGTTTGCCGCAGCGCGGAACGCACTTGATATAGTTTTTGCGGCTCGCGGCGTGTTTCTGTTTCCCGAAGTTGCACAGTGAGTGCCTCTTCCTTTTCGTCGCGGTTTGGCTCCGCGCAAGTATCACGGAAACTCAAACTTGCTCGTTTTTTTCCCGCTGGCAGCTTTGCCTCGCGGTTTCTTCCAACCGCACGGCTAGGCCCTTTAGCGTCTTAGCGAATTCCGGCGCGTCTTGCGTCCGACCAGCACAACTTTGCTCCGGGACCGCGGTCTGCGGCGGGGAGGCGGCGCACAGTGGGCCAGAAGACCGGTGGAGGCGGCCAAAACTCTAGACGCGTTTTGAGCTCCAGAGTCGCTAAATGGGACTCGAACCGAACGTGTGACCCCACCAATGGATTCCTCGTTGGGAGAGCAATCCATTGGTGGGCTCACACATTCGGTTCGAGCCCCATTTAGCGACTCTGGCGCTCAAAACGCGTCCGGGATTTTGGCCGCCTCCACCGGTCTTCTGGCCCACTGTGCGCCGCCGCCTGTCCAGTCTCGCCTAGTCTTGTCGGCTGAGCCTGCAAACCACCAATTTTCCCCGATGAACGCGGTTTTCATTTCGCGGTTTTGATAATATGAAAACAGGAAAGAGCTTTACTTTCAGGTGCTCTCGCTGCAGTTCTTTTCCAGCTTCGTGAGTTTTCGACGTGGTGCCGTTATGTCGGGGCTAGTCTTAAAATTTATTTTATTTTGTGAAATGAAAACAATCTCGAATTCTTCCCGAGCTCGTCGCCCTGCGCGTCGACGGCCACTTCCTCTGCAGTCCGATTCCGAGAGTCGTCGCTCTGTCTCTCTCGCACCTGTGCGGGACGCTTCGTGAGTGCGAGAGAGACAGAGCGAGGTCAATCACAGCGCCCCGACGTCAGCGGCCCCGGTCGCCACGCTGGCGACCTGAACGGTGGAGTCCTGTTGGTCCCGGGCGGGTTTCATAAAGTCAATGAGGACTCGCTTCACGCTTCGCCTCGCCGAGGTGCTGCACTGTAAGGCAATGTCGCCTGATATTGCCACATTCTTCTAATTTCAAAGGGTCCGTTGTTTCACCCTTGCCGCCCCTCCTCCCCTCTTCTCGGACTCGGGACGGCCCCGCTGCTGCCTCGACGCGCCCCTCGCTCTGTCTCTCTCGCACCCCTGCGGCACACTCCACGAGTGCGAGAGAGACAGAGCGAGAAGTGCGAGCTGCCTTTTTCTCGGAAGTCTCAAAATAACTGTCTGACGTGGTTCCCGGTTTCGGCAGCTAGGTCGGAATTCGTGCGTCCAGCCGACCGTGAGCAATTTTGAGCAAGTTCCGTGCACTTTTACGAGTCGTACATGGTGTAGCAGTCACTGCTGTTGCTGTGAGAACGGCGTGCTGATGACTGGCGTCTCCCGTTTGTTGCAGGCAGTCGGCACCGCGCCCTGGAATCCTGGAGAAAACTGGAGGGACCTCCTGGAACGGCAGGCACCTCCGCCGAGCCCCGCGTCGAGACGCAGGCGCGATGCGGCGCCAGTTCCAGGGCGGCCCGTGCTGGACCGGCTGGACCGGGACATGACTGTCCCTCCGGGCGGCAATGCGTCGTCTGCTAGTGCGCCGTCCAGCAGAGTGACTCCGAGCAGTGCTTCCGTCGGCCTGTCTCTGTCGCGCCCTCACGGAGCGCCCCATGAGTGCGAGAGGGACCTCCCACTCCGTGTGCAGTGCGTCGTCTGCTAGTGCGTAGCATGGCGTCGGCGCCCCGCCAGTGAGCCGCGCCTGGACTCGAGGGTCGCGGGTTCGACGCCCGCCTCGCGGATCCCGTTTTGGCGGATGACGCGCAAGGGCATGCACTTGTCGTCGTCCGACGCGCAGGCCGTGCAGGCCTCGGCCGCGTCCGTGGGGGCCGCGGCGAGCGCGCCGCACCCGCCGCGCGATGCGGCCGCGGCCACGGCGACGTACGGCCCCATCACCGCCGACATGCTGGCCGAGCGCACCCTGGACGGCCTCCTCGCCGAGCACCCCGGCGAGCTGGTGCGCACGGGCAGCCCCCACGTCGTGTGCACCGTGCTGCCCACGCACTGGCGCTCCAACAAGACCCTGCCCAACGCCTTCAAGGTGGTCGCGCTCGGCGACGTCGTCGACGGAACCCCGGTCACGGTGCGCGCCGGCAACGACGAGAACTTCTGCGCCGAGCTGCGCAACAACTGCGCGCCCATGAAGAACCAGGTGGCCAAGTTCAACGATCTTCGGTTCGTCGGCCGCAGCGGCAGGGGTGAGTACACACTGTTTCTTTTGCGTGACTGTGCACTGTACGGGCTGTGCGCCTGCGAGCTCGAGTTGGGCTGGCCCGGCCAGCACGGCTGCGGCCGGGTGGACTACCTCCACGGCGCTCCGCTCCGCGCGCCGCACGGGAGTCGGCCCAAACTCTAGACGCGGTTTGAGCTCCAAGGTCGCTAAACAGGACTCGAACCGAACGTGTGACCCCACCAATGGATTCCTCGTTCGGAGAGCAGTCCATTGGTGGGGTCACACGTTCGGTTCGAGTCACATTTAGCTCAAAACGCGTAGAGGTGCGAGAGAGACGGAGACAGTGGTCGGTCTGCAATCGATGCACCCCTGTCCGAGTGCTTGGAGCTGGTCAGGGGTCGCTGGCAGCGCCTTACCACCTTGCAGTGCAGTGGCTGGCGTGCGGCCAGGGCGGCCAGGTATTTGGCCAATGTCTGGCCCCCGTCACGGCCCGGGTCTAGCCACGCTAGCAACATGCGAACGGTCGGGGCCCGATTCCTTGTCTCTCTCTTTCTTTCGCACGCTCTGCGGGACGCTCCGCGAGTGCGAGAGAGACAGAGCAAAGCCGGTCTTCGGGCACCCCCGCGAATCACGAACACGTCGAGTCACATCAACGTCCGCAGAATGCAAAAATTATTGATTTTTTTTCCGAAACTAAAATGATTAAAAATGGAAGGAAGTTTCAAAGCTAAGTAAAATGTTCAAGACATTACTTTCCAATACAAACAAACGTTGATTTGAGGGGCGAAAGGAAAGCCGTTCCGTTTCGGGGGGTGAATGTTGGCGGTCGCGGCCCGGTCGCGGTGGCAGCGGTGCCAACTTAAGAACTGACCCCGCCAATTGGAGGCTCTGGCACCGCCGCACAGTGGGCCAGACGGCCGGTGGAGGCGGCCAAAACTCTACACGCGTTTTGAGCTCCAGAGTCGCGAAGCAGGACTCCGAACCGAACGTGTGACCCCATCAATGGATTCCTCGTTCGGAGAGCAACCCATTGGTGGGGTCACACGTTCGCTTCGAGTCCTGTTCAGCGACTCTGGAGCTCAAAACGCGTCTGGAGTTTTGGCCGCCTCCACCGGTCTTCTGGCCCACTGTGCGGCGACGCCGCGACGCCCCCCGCCACAAGACAGCCTCCCAGCCTCCCCACAGGACTGCGGCTCCACTGCGGCTCCGGGAACCGCGGCAACCGCGTTTAGGTGTATGCTGAGGTCGGCCCTGGTTTCGGATGCGGCGGCGGCGGCGGCGGCGTGCGCGGAGTGCCGGGCGAGGGGGAGGGGGACGGGTTTGGTGGCGGGGTGGGGCGGGGCGCGGCGGGCCCTGAGGTTTGTCTCTGTAACCAGGAGGGCGGTTGTTGCGGCCGGCCGGGGCGCGCCGGGGCGCGGCGGGGCGGGGCGGGGCGGGGCGGCGGCTGGCCTGACCACCACTTGCCCGCCACGCATCCGATACCCAGTCAGACAAAGACAGCACGACGATCAATTAGAACTCGGCGACTGTGTTCGGAGACAACGCGCGAAAGCGAGATAGAGTTCGGTCGGTTAACCTCCACTTCCTGGCGCACCATGTTGTTGTTGTTGTTGTTGTTGGCGCGCTCCCACGCTGACTGTTGGCGAACCGCCGGCAACGCATTAAATATTACCGCACTTTTAACAAGCGCCTCTGTTTGCGCGGCCGTTCTGAATGGGCCTCTCTCTCTCTCTCTCTCTCTCTCTCTCTCTCTCTCTCTCTCTCTCTCTCTCCACCCCCTCGTGTCAATCCGAGAGAGAGGGCTGCGAGTCCCTTTGCATAGCGGGGCGTTGTTGGCGGGCCAGGGCGCCACCCGAAGGCTCCCCGACCCGGATTCCGAATCCGACTTCTGTTTGCTCTCTTTCCCGTGCGGCTGGAGTGGCCAAGGGTTGAGTGTCGGCACTGGGATGACGAGGACGAAAAAAAACAACAACAAAAAACAAACAACAGCAACAACGACTGACATGTTGTCGGCTTGATCCAGCCGCGCCTACAGTGTGCCGACGTAGTCGTTTCACGATTAGCGAAATTTTATTTCAAAGTCTGTCATAGTCATAATAGGCTTCACTGAAGCCCCGGGCGATGTGTTCGATTGCTTTCCCAGTCATTATTAAAGTATAAAAACAAAAAAAAAGTCTAAAAAAGAAGATAATAATGGGGGCCTTCGCAAGTGGTTTCTTTGTTGGCAAAAAAAGAAAACAATATGTAAACTATATTAAACGGGCTGCTGAACAGTGGGGAATAATTCACATCCGGGAAACTGTTCTTTTGTTCGCTTAAAGTTAGAGTCCCCTCACCTTGTTCCTCAAAGTTAGCAACCTTTTTTTTCTAACGCCCCTCCGAATGTTTTTTTGGTCTCTCCTGGTGGCGGGGCGTGCTTACCCCACGTTTTTAATTCCTTTTCCCCTTAGTCTCGGGCTGAGGGTGCCCATCCGAAACCACCCGGGCCACCACGCGCCGCCACGCCGCGCCACGCCGCGCCGCGCCACGCCGCGACCCCGGCGTTCCAATCGAAGGATTTTCAACAACAAGCCAGAAAATTAGGCAGGGGAAAGAATCCGGGGACCGTCTGTCGATCCGTGTCCCGTCTTAACGAGACCCGAGGCAGCCGGGGCCTGGAGGAGGCTGGGGGAGGGGGTGCAAGGGGAAGGGGCAGAAATAGATTATTTCTGGAGGGCGGTCGGATGGTCAGCCATTCACGCAGATAAGGCCGAGCTTGGCCGGATTTGCACTCCGCCGACTGTGGCTTCATTCAATCATCAACCAATCAAAAAAAGAAAAAATAGTCAAAAACACACAAAAAAGCTTTTTTTTCTTTAAAAAAAGTAGAAATATTTTTAAAAATATTCAATACCAAGACTCAGGCTCGTAGCAGAGTAAAAACCAATCAAAAACAGAAAAAAATGGTAAAAATGCGAAACTTTTAAAAATTTAGAATTAAAAAAAAAAAAAATATTTAATACAACGACTCAGGCTCGTAGCAGAGTGAAAATCTCATGAATCGAGTTAAGTCCGTGCAGAAACGGAGAAAATTGCAAACTCACTTTTTCGCGACTGAAACAATTTCTCGCGTTTTGAGCCAAGTGGAGTGAGTCTTGCTCGCGCCGCCGCCGCCGCCTCTTCGTCGGCCGGGCCGTTTAGGTGAAAGTTTGATGCTGCGGAGGCGGTCCGGCCGAGGGCTGGCCGGGCAGACCGAGCTGGCGGCCTGATCAGCCGCAGCCCAGACCGAGGCTCAGACCGCCCGGCAACCGCAGGGCAACTCGCCAGGGAAATAGGCGGGCCAGGAGATTATGCTACATAACTTTGGCGGGCTTTTCAATTCTTGAAACGGGCTCCGGATTTATTGCCTCGTTTTGCTTCGTGCTCCGCGGACTTCGTGGCCTTCGCGGTCGGGACTCGACAGAAGGGGGCGGTTTATCAAAACAGCAGTGCTGCCGCGCGAGCAGCCGAAAAAAATAAAATTCCCACGACGCAACAGGGCTGAAAGTGTTGCCAACCTCAGTCTACCTGGGCTTTGATCTCGAGGAGTTGCCTAGGTTGGCAACCCTTTCAACACTGGTCATCGTAGGAAGTTTAGACTGCTTGCATGGCAACACCGCTGCTTCTTTCCTGGATTGGGTTGCTCGTTTCACGGCACAGCCCCTAACCTAACCTATGTTACTGACCTTCTGACTGTGGCAGGCAAGAGCTTCACGCTGACCATCATCGTGGGGTCGGTGCCGCCGCAGGTCGCCACCTACAACAAGGCCATCAAGGTGACGGTGGACGGGCCGCGCGAGCCGCGCTCCAAGACAAGTAAGTACCACAGGCGTTTCATTCGTTTTTCACTTTCCAACGTCGCGGGGGAAAATTGTCTCACAGTGGATTTGCCAGAAGACCGGTGGAGGCGGTCAAAACTCTAGACGCTCCAGAGTCGCTGAATGGGACTCGAATGGAACGTGTGACCCCACCAATGGATTGCTCTCCGAACGAGGAATCCATTGGTGGGGTCACACGTTCGGTGCGAGTCCCATTTAGCGACTCTGGAGCTCAAAACGCGTCCGGGATTTCGACCGCCTCCACCGGTCTTCTGGCAAATCCACTGTGCGGCCTTGTGGAGAACAATGGGCTGAAAACGGTGATCTGTAATGACGGCACTAGAGAGAGACAGCGACACAGCCCGGGGCATTCCTCGGCAGCGAGGGTGAGAAGGAGAGAGGGCGAGAGGTCCTCCACCCTTGTCATAATTTCCGATATTAAGATTAATGCACCGTGCGCGGCAGCGCGGCGTGGCGGCATTCCAGTGTCGGAGTCAAGGGACGCTGAGGCGGAAGGGGAGGGGAGGGAAGGCCTCGGAGTCTATTAATTAACACGTTCTGGAGGTGCCTGCCTGCCCTGCTCTGCTCGCCTGCCCGGTTTTGCACTACTTTCCGGCCAAACTCCGCGCCGTGGGGTTGTTGGGGTGGAGGGGCGTGGACCTGGGATGATGAGCATGGCGTTGAAGGCTTTGGCATTCGCCTCACAGCCAACAATTAATTTTTTTACCAATTAACTTACCCTAAATATTTGCAAAAGAAAAATTGACTTGAGGTTTTTCAGTGAGTTGTGCGGGTGGGAGCCACACAGTGGTTCTGCCACTCTGGCCGATTCTGAAATTGGGTGGCTTCCACTTCTCTGTGGAGTGTTCGGCTATGTTCCAGGAAACCAGGCGTTCCACCCGTTCCCCTTCGCGCCGCGGCCCTTCCCGTTCGGGGGGCCCCTGGACCCGCAGCGCGTCGGCGACCCCCTGGCCTCCTTCAAGCTGTCCGGTAAGTAGCCCTGTCGTCGACCATCAGAGTGGGGGAGACGGCAAAAACTCCAGACGCGTTTTGAGCTCCAGAGTCGCTAAGCAGGACTCGAACCGGACGTGTGACCCCACCAATCGATTCCTCGTTCGGAGAGCAATCCATTGGTGGGGTCACACGTTCGGTTCGAGTCCCATTTAGCGACCTGCCTCGAGAAGTTGCCTGAGGAGGCATGCTGAGGTTGGCAGCCCTTACGACACTGGTGTCCATCGTGGGGATTTGCCGCCTCGGCGGCGACATTTCCACACGCTGGTTCCCCCGGGTTCCCCGCGCACACGTGTCCGGGCAACGATCGCCGAGACGCCGCCTGAATTTCTCATCGCCGAAGTACTTCCCTTCTTCCCCTACTGCCCCGGCCAAGGCCCCGGCGGCCCCAGCCGCCACAGAGTTCCTGCGGCGGCCGCTAGAGGTCGCCTGCTACCCTCTCCGAGTCCCTCGCGGAGCCCCTCGCGGGGTCGGCCCTTCCTTGAGGGGCGTGAGGGGCTTGCGGGGCCCCAGTGGGGGACGGGGCGGCTCACAGTGGGGCCAGAAGACCGGAGGAGGCGGCCGAAACTCTAGACGGGTTTTGAGCTCCAGAGTCGCTAAATGGGACTCGAACCGAACGTGTGACCCCACCAATGGATTCCTCGTTCGGAGAGCAATCCATTGGTGGGGTCACACGTTCGGTTCGAGTCCCATTTAGCGACTCTGGAGCTCAAAACGCGTCTATAGTTTTGGCCGCCTCCACCAGTCTTCTGGCCGAAAAACCTTCATGATTATAGCATGTTGTGAAGCCTTTCACCAGAACGCATTAAGAGTTCACCTAAAAAGACTCGCTGAAACGATCTACCAAAAAATATCACTGCCACAAAAAAATAAAAGAATGATAAAAGTTTCCGAATAAGTCGGTGACCGTGCGCGTTTGTTGCTTTTCGGCAGAGTCCATACAATCTGAGCGGGGAAAAGTCGCTAATTGACACATGTGCCACACACACACACACACACACACATCGCGAGACGAGCCCGTTCCCCTTTTTTGGGTCCGAGTTTGGAAGTCCAGTGGCGTGCCTCGAGGCTATGCTCGTGTGTCCACGGCGGGGCCACGGCGGGGCCCTCGGTGCGTGCGGGGGCGTGTGGGGTAGGACCCCTCATTTCGTCTGCCGATCGGCCTGCAGACCGATTCCGATTCGCTCTGTCTCTCTCGCACTCATGGGGCGTGCCGTAGGGGTGCGAGAGAGACAGAGCGACGAAAGCGACTCTCGGAATCGGTCTATGCCGGCCATCGGCAGCCAGCAGGCCGGACAAAAACTTTTCCAACTTGCAAGCAAGTTTGCGCATCGGCCGCGCAAACCTCAGCCGGCCGCGCAACTTTCAATTAGAGAAACGAGAGAGAGAGAGAGAGAGAGAGAGAGAGAGAGGAGAGAGAGAGAGAGAGAGAGAGAGAGAGAGAGAGAGAGAGAGAGAGAGATAGAGAGAGGCGAAAAAAAAGAGGAGGATGAAGAATGAGCAGCAGACTGGCCGGCCGGCCGGCGGGAAATTAGACGTTTCTTCTCTCTCTTTTTTCCGGTGTAGAAAGACGTGCGCTTTGAGTGCCAGGCCGGCGGGGCATGGCGGGGCATGGCGAGGAGGGCCGTCGGGGCCGGGCGCTACCTTCCAATCTGCATAAGTATGAAATATCCATCGAGGAGCCGCCCCGCCCCGCCCCGCCCCGCCCCGCCCCGCCACTTGCTCCCTTTGGGGGCGCCTCGATGGACGGCGAGGACGGCGCGCGGGGTGTCCTTCCTTTGTCGGCACACCTAATGTGATAACCCGAGTCGTACCACCTACAGCGCCCTGAATTATTGACGTGTGTGCGCGCGTGTGTGTGTGAGCGCCTAGTGTGTGTGTGGTGCATACGTGACTGCACGTACGTGACGTGGTGTGTGTGCGTGCGTCCGTATGAGTGACGACGGTCTTTATCCGGCCCGTATCTGTGCTTCCCAGCGCCGTGCGCTCCGTAAATGGCGCCTGTAACGACACTGCCGCCACCTCCTCTTCGGCGCCGTGCCGTGCCGACAGTGGGCCAGAAGACCGGCGGAGGCGGCCGAAACCCCGAACGCGTTTAGAGCTCCAGAGTCGCTAAACAGGACTCGAACCAACGTGTGACCCCACCAATGGATTCCTCGTTCGGAGAGCAATCCATTGGTGGGGTCACACGCTCAGTTCGAATCCTATGTAGCGACTCTGGAGCTCAAAACGCGTGTAGAGTTTTGGCCGCCTCCACCGGTCTTCTGGCCCACTGCGCGCTGTGTCCGAGGCCGAGACCCTCTCCGCTATCGATCTTGCGATCGCACCTTGGCGGCGTCCGACCCGCCTCTCATCGAATATGTTCCCGATGCGGCCCGTCGCGCGCCGCCCGCCCTCCTGGGACCCCGCCACGCCCCGCCCCGCCACGCCCCGCCCCGCCACGCCCCGCCCCACTTTACACCCTCTGTCGCCTAACCTCATTTCACGTCCCAATCCTCCGGGCCCGTCCCCGTCTTTTGAGCCACGACACCTCGGTAACACGGTTTCGCGCACCCGCGCCGCAGACACCCTCCTGGCCCTCCTGGTGCCCGTCGCTCCCCCTCCACCACGCGGGCACACCGTTCCACGACGTCGTCGAGGTGCCCGTCGTCACCTGCCCGACGGACCGCCAAAAAGTCTGTCGCAAGATGAAAATTTTGTACTCCACGGCAAAAACAGTGTGCGGGTTTCCCAGGCCCATCCTGGAAAATGGACCTCTTTCTCCTGGGTGGGCCTGGGAAACCCGGTCATTCATTCATTCATTCATTCATTCATTCATTCATTCATTCATTCATTCATTCATTCATTCATTCATTCATTCATTCATTCATCGACCCTTTTCCCCCAACATTCCCTCCACAGCCCAAAACGCGGCTCCCTGATTGGCTGCTCTGCCAACCTGTGGCACTTTGATTCGAATTTGACGCCCTTGGTGCTCGCCGCGTCTTGCCTGCCGCCTTTGGCGCCGCGGCGTCGCCGCCAACCCCTTCCCCCTCCCCCCACTCCCCGGAGCGCCGCTCCCCCGCAAAGAGGCCGCCGCCTTTCTTGTTTGTTATTATAATTGGTGTGTCGACAAGTTGACGTCTCTTTTCGCAGCTCCGCAGCCACCTCCGAGGCCGCCTCCGAGGCCGCCGCCCTAAGCACCTGCCTCTGGATCAATCTGGAGGGCTGGAGCGGGCCGGAGGGGTGACTCGGGGCCGCGAGGAGTCACCTCCCGAACTCACTTCCAAAAAACAAAAACAAAAACAAATATTAACACTGTCTGGGCTAAAATCATCTTGGAAATTCCAGATGAACTAAACGGGTAAACGGCGAGGCGGCCGCGTTTTGAGCTCCAGAGTCGCTGAATGGCACTCGAACCGAACGTGTGACCCCACCAATGGATTGCTCTCCGAACGAGGAATCCATTGGTGGGGTCACACGCTCGGTTCGAGTCCCATTTAGCGACTCTGGAGCTCAAAACGCGTCTAGAGTTTCGGCCCCACCGGTCTTCTGGCACATCCACTGTCCGCGTCCACTCATAACCGAGACGCTCATTCCAGAAGCCGTCGAGGCTCGCACTCTTCCCTCCCCGAAGGACTAAAGGACGCCATGTCGCTGACGGTGTAGGCGCGCGAGGAGTTGGGAGTAGTTAAAGAAAGGGAGCAGGTGAGGCGCACACACTCCTTCTCTCTCTCTCTCTCTCTCACTGGAGGGAGCGAGAGTAAATACGGCGAGGGAGTGTGCTTGACGTGTAATGACACCATGACACCGTACTACATACTTGGGGACGCGGGGTGCTGGGGCGTGGCGGGGCGTGGCGGGGCGTGGCGGGGCGGGGCGGGGCGTGGCGGGGCGGGGCGCGGCGGGGCGGGGACTGACTCCCCTATGGCCTCTGAGGTGAACGAGCGACAGGGACGGATGCCGAGGGGTGAAAATCATTTTCCGTATCAAGTTTTGCCCCCGAGCGCTCCACCGTGGCCCCGCCCCGCGACGCCCGGCGACGCCACGCTCGCGTCGAGCGGTGGCGGAATTCCTTCCCGGCGACGTCAACAAGTCCCTCCGGGAAGTTTTGCGGTGTGTTCGCTTTTTGCCGCGTTTGCCGCGCGGGGCAGCGGAAAGCGACGAATTTGGGTCACGACTGATGACGAAAGCGGCAAAAAGGGTCTCTGCACACTGTGGACTCAAAACGCACAAGTAACCCCTCCCCTCCCCCAAAATAACCTTGTCTTTTGAAAATAATAAATCAAATTCTTTAAAATATTTCCTTTTGCGTTCCATCAACCTTTTTCGAAGAGAAACTTTTTGCTTTTGGCTCTCGCGGTTCAAATTTGAACATTTTTTTTGTAAAAGTAACTCCATTAAATTGAAAAAAAAAGTTTTTGCAAAAAAATAAAAAAAAATGTATATTTTTTTTACAAAATTTAAATTTTCCCGGCATGGCTGCTTGGTGCCCGCGTGAGGTGCCGTGCTTGCACCCTTGCACCCCAAAGACGGGGTGGAATCTCGCCCAGTTTACGAGCGCCTGCTAAACGCGTGGTTAACTGTCGCAGTGTCGCAGCCTGATCACAATTAGAGGCAAAACGGTGGCCTGCTGCCAGTGCTGGGCGTGGCGGGGCGTGCGGGTGGGGGGGGGTGGGGCGGGGTGGGGCGGGGTGGGGCGGGGTGGGGCGTAGGCCGCCTTCGCAACGCTTCGCAACAAGGGGTCCAGAACGAGGCGAGACACCCCTCGGCCCAGGGCCGCCTCCGCAGCGGGCACGCTCTGTCTCTCTCGCACTCATGGGGCGCCCCTCGGGCCCCGCAGGGGGTGCGAGAGAGACAGAGCGCCGCTCCGGACCGGCCGGGCTGCTGCTCCTGAAGTGGGCTGATTTTTAAAATAAGGCGGTGGGGCGGGGCGGGCGGCACACTGGCAGGGGATCGACTTGATTCCGGCTGATTTTTACCAGTGAGGGGAGCAGGTCAACCAGTTC